TTGCACACAATTCAAGGGAGCCAAATTATTCAAAATGAAACTATTCTAGCAGACTCTGATGTGTACTCCAGAATACAAGTTTCCACCAAACACACTTCTTTAAAAAAAAAGTGTATTATTTGCATCAAATTACAATCTCCATATTTCAGAGTCTGCATAATGAATACATTTTGAGATGCCAGGTTCCAGTTCAAAATCTGAGCCAGAAACAAGGCAAGTTCAAACTCCACACCTTTTTGAATGTTAATTTTCAAATTGTGCTTATTTATTTATGTATTTAAAGTTTTTGATAATGAGAAGCACTTTTCCTTAGGTCTGAGCTTTAGGACCTGAAAATTATTTTTCATTGTTTCTTTTTCAGATCAACACCCACTTTTCAGACACATTAGAATTGAGGTTCTGAGTATAGTTTTTGGTTCTCAGTTAATATATAGAATTTCAGATATCATTTAGATTTGATTTAGACATCCACCTGGAGTTTTTTCAACCTTTGCAAGTGCACTGTGGATCATTACACCTTAAAATGTCTTTTAATGCTGAATGTCTATATAGTTTGTTGTCCTTGATCTTAAGATGATTCATGCAAGAAGGACTACTTGTGGCAAAAGGATTGGAAAGCTTAGTCCATAGCTTGGAAAGAGTCAAAACTCAGAATTAGAGGCATCAGATGAATGAGTAATTGTAACAGTAATTAACACTATTAACAACATACCAAGGAGAAAACCACACTGTTAGCACCAGTGAGAATAGAATGTGTTTGAAATGACACTTTTAGCTCTTGGTCATGTGAATCAAATTGAACAGATATGCTGTGGTCTTTTTGTTCTTTTCTATATTGTGAAATCTGTTCCATCCAGAAAGTTTTCAAGCTTCAATTTTCAAAGCTATTTCAAGTAACTTGGATCCCCAAACTCCCAAGATTTTGAGCATTTTGCTGCTTGATGGTAACAGCACGAACACCCAGCTAATATTCATATTAGCTTGTCCAGTTTAGCTAGACATACAGAACACAGCCTGACATTCATTTTTGTTGAAAGGATGTCCCATAGGAATGAAGATGAAATTCTGAACTTCGAAATAGTTGTGTCATCTATCCAATACTCTTTTGATTACTTGGCTAATCAAGATGTCTGCTAACACCTTTATAAATAAGGATAAAAATGGCACCAACGAAAAAGTGCTGGACTCCTGGGATATGGGCTGGAAGATGCTGAGTTTTATTTTGTTTTTTAATGAATCTTAGCCTCTCAACAGCTAAGCTTGTTCAGTTTAATAACCTAATAAATATTTCTGAACAATGCTGTTGTGTCTTATGGTAATATCTGGCATTATACGCTAAGGACTCAGTGGAGTAGAACAGAAAATAAAACCCGCCTGCAATAGAAATTACACTTTTCTTTTTGTTTGGTTGGAAATTCACATCAGTTTAGCTTGCATTTTCACGTATTGCTGTTTTGCCAGGTTGTAACTTAGATTTTGCCACCATTTTCAAAATGCATATCAGTTTTATATTTGATTATAGTTGATTTTACTGCTTACTGCCCCCTCGCTTGATGCTGAATTGTAAAATTTTCAGTTTTGAGTCTTCCTAAATTTTATCTTAGAATTAGTTTGAAATTATTCGTATATGAAACTTTTGGTACTATCGTCTCATAATAACCACACTTCTTCCACTCCAATATATTTCCATTTCACTTTCCAAATCACTATACTGGCACACTATTTGAACAAGTTTTTGAGAGACACAAAAGCCACATGGAAGTTCCAGATATGCTTATGTATGAGCAGGCATAGCGCACAGCAACAGCAATGCAACTTGGCAATTTTTGCCATAAAGTTTGAGGGGCCTACTAATATATTGCCATTATAAATCTGTAAGTGTCCAAGTATATAAAATCACATTTCTTAAGTAAGATATAGATATCCCAGCCAGTAGCACAATATTGTATCAATCCATATTTTATTTACTGAAATGAATTTCAATAACTGCTCGATTTTTAACTTTCACTCTGCTTTGTTTGGAGCTAGCTTATAAATGAAAAGAGTATAATGACAGGTTTACTCATGGAAAGAGGAACTGGTGCTAAAATAGGCTCTTACATAAGCATCAGAAATTCTTCTTGAGAGCGAATTTCCTTTCCCCCCTCAAAAAAAAAAAAAAAAAAAAAAAATCAGATCACGGGCTCTCTCTTCTCAAAGACAATTGCACAATTTTACTTCCAGTTCCTAAATCTACTTTGAGAAGCTCGTCAAATTCTTCTTTTCCGCCGATGAGTTTCAATTTCAGAAGTAAATGCAATAAAGAGATGTAACTGCTTAGATTTAGTCTACTTATTTATGTTCTGTATAGAATTAAGTATGAGCTAATTATGTAGAGCAACTTGCAAAAATCTCTTTGGTCTCTGCCCCAAAGAGATTACAATTTAGGAGAAAACTTACAATGTAAATAAATTTGAGCATATTTTGAGAAAGATTGCAATATTTTAATTTGCGAGAGAAAGAAAAATGAAGAAGATTGCATCATCTGGTATCACTGCAAACTGTTTGGATTGCTTATAATAAGTGAAAAGTATTTGCCAAAATTATTGTGTTCCCATTATAGCTGAGAACATATTTGCATGCAATAATGTAATGGTGACTGCACTAGGAGGAGCTGACTTGATGTTCTCCTGGTGCCATAGTTAACATTCTTCCCAAGTGTTGGTAATTTTTTGATTCTTTATAACAATATTCAGGAAGTTATGCCTTTTGTTTCACAGACTTGAAGAGCTCAAAATTGCCCTGAAGAGCTTACAAAATTTCAAACTGGGGAGGCAACATAATACTGTGCATTTTGTGCCTATAAGAAAGATACCTTAAGAATTAGTTAGTAGCGTCAATCTATTGTCTCCTCTCTTAGAATTAAGATTAATTTTTCCCACAGAAGCATGCATATGTTGTAAATTAAAACTGAATAGAATAAGTGATTATGGCCAATTCTACACAGAGAGCAGGGTTAGAACAGATTCTCTGCCCCACAATTATATTGATTTGGGGATGGTTCAGAATCATGCCAATATAGACAGATAGGTAGATAAACTAATTCAACATTTGATCAGCTCTGATAACAATGGCAAAGAGAAATGTATTGCTCATAGCCCGCCATTTTTAGGATAGTATAGTAAAAATGTCATGTAATTTGCTAGCCAACTATTTTGTTGAAAGTATTGGCACAATCTAGTGTCAGTGAATGTCTGACGCATTATTCGTGGATAAAGAAAATATATGCCATCAGAAAAAGTACTAGAGCTGAACATATTCTTTGTGTAAAATTGGATCAAGCTTATGGTAGCCAGTTATGACTTTAAAAAAAATCACAATAATCCTTTCAATCTGGCAGAGAAGGAAGATGTTATTGTGGGATGTTATTACCTTTTCTAACAAATGTTATTAATTCAAAAGAAAGGTTCTATCTTTCTAACTGTATTCTTCACAAAACAAGTTTCCAGCTAGAAGATCCTTCAAATATCTAGTATGATCTCAACCCAAGAGATAAACAGTCTTAGCTCAATCACACTATATGCATTATACTCTATGGCTTCAAAACTTGATAGACAATTAGTATCTAAAATGTCTCTTTGGAACAAACAACCATGGAATAGCCGTAGGCCATTTACAATCTGATCTTCCTTCTATTCAAGTTGATGGCAAGACTCCCATTGGTTTTAGAATGAGCAGGATAGAACAAGAACCTCCTATTCAATCTTCACACTTGAATTGTGAGGAGTTTGGTTGTTATTATTATAGGCTTTCCCTGTACTGTTTTTTTGTGTTGCCTGTCCACATAATTCAAAAGGCTCTGTGTGTTGATTCATTGCCAGTTTAACTTGCCTGCACTAGGCATGTACACAGTTTAACTAGCTAATATTCCACTGTTTGCTGTCATCTAGAGAAGCAAAACCTTTTGTGGTAGGCTATTTGGGGCCTTCTCTGCTGTATTTTGCTATATGCAGTTACTGTACTGGAACATTCTCACCACCACTTCAGGTGTTAAGGGGTTATTTGTTTGTTTTCCTTCCTTCCTTTCTTATTTTGTCCCTACTAGAGAATTACACATCTTAAGATGTGTTACTGCTTTTGGTTTGGAAGAATTAACTTTCCAGCAACAGGAAACCTTTGCACCAGTTTGTTTAGTTAAGCAGGACACTAGAAAACACATCATTGCTCAGATAAAGTAACTACATTCATAATAGTCAAAGTACTCTATGCCTAGATACGTAACTCTATGTATTATCTGATTTGACAAAAAAAAAGTAATGGTGCACATCGATAGTTTGTATGATTATAGCTCAGAAGCAGGCTTCATTGTTGAATCCAATTTAACAAGTATCAATATTCTTATTGCTATTCTGCTATTTCCCTAAAACCATTCAAAGGAGGCGCTTTACCAAACACTGGGAAAACATTAAAGACTGTGATTTTTTTTTTTTGGTACTGTAGCTTTAACAAGAACAAAACTTGGCACGATTCTGGTTCTCTGACTGGGAGCTTCCCCATAAGCCAATGTTGTGAGCAAACATGTCAAAGTCCCGTATGACCCTTCCTCACGCCTCACATTTCTATTTTATATTTCATTTTAAACATTCTAGGTCAATTATAAGATACTTCTAAATATTCTTCTCTCCAAACCTGTTACCCATCCTTTACAACACATTCAACATATATGAATAGGCTTCTGGCTGTACAGTGCATGGGCTCTGGATGTTACCGAACCCCATCTGTTTCGCACAGCAACAAATATGGTAATTTCTCTGCTCCTCAGGAGCATCAGCATAAAAGTCCTCTTTTGTAGCTTAATTAGTCATAATCCCCATCTGGGGGAGGTGAGACATTTCACTTTGCTGGTTGCTACACTTTGGCCAGGGTAAGAAGGAGACAAAAAGATCCTCATCCTTACATTTAATCAGCACTGCAGCATGGAGAGAGACAGACACACAAAAGAAATCACAAAGTCAACTCACAGAATCTCCAAGTCACGCAGGGCTCTAAAGGCTCCATCTTCAATGCAGCTGATCTGGTTGTTGTCCAGTTGCCTGCAGGAAGGAAGGGAGAGTATGAAGGCTTGCTGGGTAACTAAGCTGCCTTAAAGCACCCGGTCAAGTCTTTCCTGTCACTGAGGTGTCCCTCCACCCCCTTGCAGTCTTTGCTCGTCCCCCAGGAGGAGGCTTGCTCATAGCCTGCCACGCTGCTCTGTCTCTTCTCACTGACTGTCTGAAAGAACTGCACAGTACAGCACACTGAAGCCTGTCAGGTCTCAGTAAATATTAATTGCACCTTTTTTTTCTTTCTTTTTTTTAAAGGCAGAAGGGAGTAATTTCATTACATTAGGGCATTCAATCCATTATGAGCTTTTACCATCATGTCACTGAAACAATTTCATTAAGCTAAAGGCCTGTAAATCATTGGAGGTCACTCCACTGCCCTCTGCGACCTCCCAGAATGCCTTTTTTTCCCCTTTTACTGGAAGTTTCAGTCCTCTGTCCTGAAAGTACTAAATCTCAAGGCTTTATCTGCCCAAGAGCTGCAAGTGTGCATGGGGAATATACCAATTCCAAATTAGACTCAACTAATCTAATTTTATAGTCTTTTTATTATTCTAAGCACCAAATGTCTGTGGTGTTCGAGGCTTCTCTCTATTGTTACTGGTCCCATCTGGCTGGCAATCCTATTGAAAGATTTTTGACTAAATACAGATTCTGCTTAGCTGTATCAGTGAAAGAAATCTATTGATAGATAATATTAAAAAATGGTGTGCATAAACACACATACACACAATTACAGTCTTAATAACGTAGTACTTTATTATAAAACCACTATAATTTAATACACCTCATATTGATTTTTCACATTTATTTCCCCCCAAATATACATGTTTTAAATATATTTTACAGTATGTAGGAAAATATGTTTTACAGTATGTAGGGTGCACGTGCATGCGTGTTTCACCTAGAAAATTAGTTTTTTATGCTCCTAATGCTTGAATCGAAGTGTAACATTTAAGGATGTAAGTCACTCTGTCCCTGATAATTTATATGACAAACCATAAATAAATCTGTATTATATGCAACTGTGTAAGCTATACCCACATTCGAACACAGTATAGACATTGCAAGAGATATGAATGCACATCCCTTGTTCCGCTTGGTACTTTGCCTAGACTCTAAGGTTGATGGGCCTGTCAATTCTGCTTGTCTGTATAGTATCTAGCACAATGATGCTATCTTCTTTTTGATATTCATAAGTGTTACTGCATATTCAACAAAATTATTATCAATATTATATACACAGTGCCCATATATACACTTGCACTGGTGCTGAGATGATATATTTAGGAAAGACCATAGTCATCTATGCTCTGTGCTGTACAGACATTTAAGAATCCATTCATTGACCCAGCAACCTTCCATTAAAAGTAAAAATAAACCATGAATAATTACAACACAATAAAAATAGTTAGCATCTTTTTAGGTAGAAAATGTGTGTTTATTTAAAGTTCTAAGTGACAGCAACATTCATTTTAACCTTTTCCATGAATTACCACATAAGTACAAATTGAGCCAATTGATATAAATTATACCGAATGTGAATATATCTAGCGCCCAAGTGACATTTATCCAAGCTGAGATGGTCCTAATGAAATGGACCAGGCTCAGTAAGCTCCAAGCTTTTTACAATTTGAAGTGTATGAAAAATCATACTGATTATCAAGGCTATCAAAATGCTTACAAGCATAAACACAGGTCAAGTTTCTTCATGGATCTCACAACTTAATGGAACATTTTGAATTTGACAAATCTTTGAGCGGCATCCCTCATACTGAAAGAAAAGATGTAATATTATCTAAAGGGGATCAGTCGCCCACCAATGCACGTACCCCTGCATCTTTAGGGGGTAGAAGGAAGGAGTTGCTGAGTGGCTATTTTTTGGATCTGTATATATTGGTGGTTTCTGAAATGTCTAATATTTGTTGCTTCACTAGAACAAGGTCTTAGTAACAATTTAGGGGTCAGGATTGCTGTAACAAGCGTTAAAATAGAGTAAAACATAGTTCCATTGTGTGTGTCTTTAAGAACTTTATATTGGCCACTTTCTTCCTCGTGTACTTTATTCATCTAATTCACGTGTGGTTTGCATTTGATGTTAAAAAAAAAAAAGCATTAACCGACAATTCAGGAAACTCAATATGATCTAGTCTTTTCAAACTCATTAGGTTGTACTGCCTAGTTTGAATTGAGGTACAGAATGCTATCTACTTTACTGCCGAATGTGCTCAGATCTAAGTAAATAAGCCCAGAGTGATTAATATATGTATTGAAAACCAGAAGGCTTTCTGTTTGTCATATGAGTATAAGTAAACAGTGGTTTTTTTTTTTAAGAATGCTATCTGTTGCTTGGATTTTAGGGTAAATAAGTGTTTAACAAATCATATATAGCTCTCTATGGGTCCAATCCATCCAACACTAGCTATGTACTTAATGTCTGAGAGGGTCTATTAAATCATTGGAACAATTCACAGAATTAAGGTAAGCTTTACATGCTTCACAGAACTAGTATATTCATAGAATCAGCCACAAACATTTTTGGGCCTATCTCTCATTTTGTATTAGTTATATCCTGCTCTTTAGGACTAATATCAGTTTCCTAACAAACTATGGTGTCTGAAAGGCAGCCAGGTTAAGTGGTTAGAGAACACAAAAGGGGACCAGAGTCACCTATGTTTTAGTTTTATCTGCTAATGATTAAGGTTTCAATTCTGCAGACACTTATTCATGTGCTTAATATTAAGCATGTGAATTATCCCTCCGAAGACACTGGGATTGATCATCATCTTAAATTTAATCATGGGCTTGTTTGCAAGATCAGGAAAACAATCATATCCCATGATACTCAAAATGGACAAATTGTGTTTTTAAAGAAACAAATCAGGAACTCAGAAAAGCTATATAAACTAACAGTCAGAGAGAGCGAGAAAGAGAGAGAGAGAAAAAACCAGAAAATGTAGGGCCACATTTCCCCAATATACACATCGTACCACAGCTGTCTCCTCTTATCACTTAGTTCTGAACATAATGTTGAAACACACACAAAAAATAACTTCATACATACTCATTTGTCAGCTATTATCATCTTTCAACTAAGTTTCGAAAATGGCATCAGTTTTGTGTGACAGTTTTATGTGTCAGCTTTCAGACATTTGTTGGAGAGATTTTTCTCCTTTTAATTACCAAAATAATATAATGAAGAGAGGCTGCGTCGCTGATGGTTAGAGCGGAGAACTAGAGAACATCACCTCTGGCACTGTTCTGCCTCTCACATGATGTGTGACCTTTAGAAAGTCGCTCTTCACCTGACTTTCTACCCACCTATGAAATGAATACAACACTGACCACATGGGGACATTTTGAAACGCTTGTAAAGTGGTTGGACTGCATCTTACGAAAGGCACTATAAAATGTGCCCACTGCAACCTTTATCAACCTTTATCTTTGCAGGCTAATTGGAAGAAAAGGGGATTTCTTCTGTAGAGCTCCCTTATAGCAACTGGGGGAAATGGGAAAGTTCATAGGGATGGATGGGAAGGGCAAGAAGCTGACGGGGCCAGTTTAGGACAAGTTACAGGGGGGCATTTATGAGCCAAGCAGCTTCTTTACCATACATATATCTGGCAAATGGACTGGGTTCCCTTTTGACCACGGTGGGAATGATACTAATTGTCCTGCTTTCTGCAAGGCTGAGAACAAATTTTTCCTTCACCCCAGACTGGCCACAGCCAGGTGGTTTTCTCAGCTTCCTCACAGTTGTTCTGGGACCCTGTGGGATTGTGGGATGAAGTAAGGGGATTAGATTATACTATGTATTGAAAACCATAGTATAGTCTTACTACATCAAATGTGGGCTGGGTGTCCAGCACGGGTACTCGGCACAGAAGGGACACAATTGAACAAAATGAATTGGAAAAGGATTGGGAGGAAAGCATTCCTTAAGGAAGTTAAGAGGAGGTTGGGGCTCCCACATCTCATCAACAGGTAGCCAATACCCTCCTTTTCCTGTTCCCCTTTAAGGGGCTAAGGACAGAGGTTTGGGATGCCCACATCTTGTAAGTAGGGAGCTGACCCCCTCTCTCCTGTGCTGCACAATATATTGTCTGGTATCTCCAGATATTATAAGTGAATTAAGTTTCAGCCTAATTAAATTTCCATGGCCTCCTGTCTTTCTTCCACACAAATACATTGTACCATTCTGACTAATAATAACGAGTAAATTTGGATACTCTTAACAATTTGGACTATGAACGAAAATAGAGGCAACAAACTGCTTCTTTCTGCTTACTGGAGCCTCTGAATGGTAGGTGGCTTACACTATGCATCATGGAGACTGTCGTAAGTAGAAACAAAGAAGGAGACTGAGGAAGACGTGCCATATTTAACTGCAAACTGCCAGGCTTTGGTCAGGTTATTATGGGTGAAGTGTTTGCTTATGTTGAAATGGTTCAGTTTCACACATTAGACACCAGACCCTGGACTCGGATCCAGGGCTTTTGTCTGAAGTGTCTCTTGCTTTGACGTCAGCGACCATGGGAAACCCTGCAACAGATGTGTGATTAAATAGCTGCTCTCACTTCACCCAAGAGGCTCCAGGGAACTGAACTTCTATGACAGGCAATTAGCTACTAACAACAATAACAATAGAGATATAACAAAAGAATTCCAAAAAAAGAGAATACAATTGGCTATCAAGGAAAAGATGTATTAGTTACACACGATATGGGCAACATTTGAGACAGGAACACTTGAAGCTCATAAATTAGTGACTGAAGACATGAAATAGTCTTCGCTTAGGGTATGTCTACACTACCACCCTAGTTCGAACTAGGGTGGCTAATGTAGTCATTCGAACTTGCAAATGAAGCCCGGGATTTAAATATCCCAGGCTTTATTTGCATGTCCCAGGGCACCGTCATTTTGAAATGCCCCGTGGTTAGAACTACCTGCCCGCAGCTACACGTGGCACGGGCTAGGTAGTTCGAATTAAA